TGGCGTTCGCATCAGTGTCACATTTCAGTTTATTCCGTTTATCTCTCTACTTCTGGAAAAAAATGTTTCTCATTTGGGTAAATGGTTCTCAACGTTCCCTTGTTGCTCTTACATTCCTTGCAAGAACTAGTCTTTGTATACTTTGGTTATGCCGCACAGAATTTTCTATGTCGATGAATGAGACACTTAAGCAACATTTTGGAATGTTTATTACCGAAACGTTTCCGTAATGAAGATTCCTAAATGTTGCACAAGTGTCTCATTCTTCAACTTGTTGGGTTTCTAAACCATTTATATTACATCATTTTGAACGTCGTTATAATATCCCTCTTTTTATCCAGTAATGAACAACCTTGTCATCATATTTGATTTTCTATACAGCTCACTTTCCTTAGCTCAGACACCAGTTTGGACACACTTAATGAACTTCATTGAGTTTCACTTTTGCGATATACTAGATGAGGGCTCCACAATGGTGCAGCATACTCAGGAATAGGTGGCACATGTGAGATACAATGTGTTATAAACGATTCATTGTCTAGGTTTCTGATGCCACTCCAACGTTGTGAGCTGTGTTAATTTATCCTCTTAACCTGGTATATTTCGTGATTCGTAAGATAAGCTTTAGGTGTAAAATTGCTATAGATTTTTTTTCCTTCTTTAGCAGTTTTTCTGAGTTAAAAAGATCTTTACTTTATACCATCCTTGTCAGGAGGCAGATGTGGAGGTCTCGTGTCACTGTGTCCGCCATCTCAGAAGGAGAGTGTTGAGAGACTCATACGCCTTATTCCGCCTTGTTAGGTGGATATGGGGCATCACACACCAGTGCTCACCTTACCACAAGGTGTCTTTTGTATATATATATATATATATATATATATATATATATATATATATATATATATATATATATATATATATATATATATATATATATATAATATACATATATATATATATATATATATATATATATATTATATATATATATATATATATATATATAATATATATATATATATATTAATTTTAGGTTCTAAGAAATAATATGATATAACAAAAAAAAAATGCCCAAAGGGCGCCGTTTCAAGGAAAAAAAATTGGAACGCCATACATGTTAATGTGTTGCTCAACGTATTGCTAAAAAAAAAAAAAATAACCCATCAGGTGGCGCCGCTCTCATTTAAATATGTGACTAAACATAGCACTAAAAAAAAAATTACCCCCTCAGGGGACGCAGCCCCCTCACTTAAAATTCTGGAATGCCACATAGCATTCAACCTGTTCCTGGGTACAAGTTAGTCTGTGGTAAAGACAGTTGCAGTGGAGGTCGTGGCATTCACAGAAAACCCACAAACATTCACATGTAAAATGCGAGTTTTTTCTTCACAGATTATTCTCTGATTTTTCCCCTGTGTGTGTGCGTGTGTGTGTGTGTGTGTGTGTGTGTGTGTGTGTGTGTGTGTGTGTGTGTGTGTGTGTGTGTGTGTGTGTGTGTGTGTGTGTGTGTGTGTGTACTCACCTAATTGCACTCACCTGATTGTGGTTTCAGGGGTCGAGACTCAGCTCCTGGCCCCGCCTCTTCGCTGACCGTTACTAGGTCCTCTCTCTCCCCCTGCTCCATGAGCTTTATCATACCTCGTCTTAAAACTATGTATAGTTCCTGCCTCCACTACATCGCTTGCCAGACTATTCCACTTCCTAACTACTCTATGACTGAAGAAATACTTCCTAACATCCCTTTGACTCATCTGAGTCTTCTGCTTCCAATTGTGACCCCTTGTTTCTGTGTCCCATCTCTGGAACATCCTGTCTTTGTCCACCTTGTCTATTCCACGCAGTATTTTGTTTGTCGTTATCATGTCTCCCCTGACCCTCCTGTCCTCCAGTGTTGTCAGACCGATTTCCCTTAACTTTTCTTCATAGGACATTCCCCTTAGTTCTGGAACTAGCCTTGTTGCAAACCTTTGCACTTTCTCTAATTTCTTGACATGTTTGACCAGATGTGGGTTCCAAACTGGTGCTGCGTACTCCAGTATGGGCCTGACGTACACAGTGTGTGTGTGTGTGTGTGTGTGTGTGTGTGTGTGTGTGTATAGGGGGAGCACTATTATTCCTGCAAAGTGAGGCGAGTGTCTGGTAATATGGATAACAGAAGCTTGGCCAAACACAAGCGTGGAGCGCTGTGTTAGTGGATTACAGATATAAATATTTCGGGAGAGGGTGACTTAGGTGTAACCATTGGTTAGGTCTGAGTCAGAATTACCATCATGGGGTCTGCAGCTTACGTGCATAAAAGACCCATTTTTCAAAACAAGCACTTTCTGGGACAATGTATCGCTCTGTCATGATCAAGCAAAACATATCCTCAGAAAGTTTGTCCTGAAGTGTGTGAATTCTCTTTAATATTATTGTCGGCAGCACGCCATTTGGACCCACATGTGTAGTAGACACACATCATGGGTCGTGATGAGGAAGAACGAGGAAGAAATCTGTGAGATTCTGAGAGCTGTAATGTTATTTACGACAAGTAAGCATTGTTGTTGACGTTTAGGAATAATGACAATATTAATAATAGTAAATTATTATTATTATTATTATTATTATTATTATTATTATTATTATTATTATTATTATTATTATTATTATTATTATGATTGAAATCTTATGATTTAAATAATAATAATGAAAATGTTATATTATGATCAATATTTTGGTTATTTTAGTTTGAAGAATCACATAATATATGTTACCTTGATATTATAGGCAATCATGTGCACATAAATGTAGTGTGGTGTATGTAGTGAGAAAAAACTGTTCTTCCTTAACCATAATTACACACACACACACACACACACACACACACACACACACACACACACACACAACACACACACACACACACACACACACACACACACACACACACACACACATATATATATATATATATATATATATATATATATATATATTATATATATATATATATATATATATATTATATATATATATATATATATAACATAACAAAACTAACATAAATTTCCATAGTCATACAAAATATTTACATCACAGTTTTCAGGCTTATTTTCAGTATGGTTCTATCTCACGAGTGCCCAGCAGTTGTTGGCTATCAAACTAATCGTCAGGTTTAACTGATATCTCTTTTCCATTATGGCTATGTCTTGGTGACATAGTTCTTCGTATTCATCACTAACGTCAATGAGGTTTGGCAGGAAGAAGTTAAAGTGTGAACGGAGGAAATTAATCTTGAGGGACATCCAACATCCCAGACGATATGTTGGCAACACCTACAATATTTATGTAATCATTACTGCGGTAACCATATTTTTCAAATTTAAAGTAAGTTTCTATGTTTTTCTGCCGTTTTCTGAACAAACTGGTTCCTGTTTCAAGGTGGAGTAAATTCCACTGGCTCAGTCTTGAACTGAGTAGCTCTGACTGCTCCTTGGATAAATTAAGATCGCAGTCAAGATAGCTAAGGTCACTTTGAGTCACTGTATGTGGTTCCTGGCAGTTGACTGCAGCTGGTTCAAACTCGTAATCTGTATTAATGACATCTTCATTATCCAAGGGAAATATATCTTTACAGATTCGTAGAGTGAAACAGGGAGATCCTTCGAATGTTCCACCGGTCTGATTTCTGAAAGATCTGAATATATTTTGGATATGTTTTTTCGATGAAAATCCTGCAATCCCGACATTTTTGTAATACAGAAATAACAATTCATGGTGTGATTCTTTTGTTCCCATCATACTGAAGAAATAGCATGTCTTGCTAACTTCCAGCAAACCACACGCATTAAAAGTTGAAACAAGTCACACAACAGAATTGAGGTTCCCACACATTTTTCTGATATCCGACCTTCAAACAAGTAGTGAAAACTGGATGTTTTCACGAAAGGCATGATGTTTGGTCTCTGTTTTGTCAGAATAAAACTGCCACATACTAACCAAAAAAAATACTGTATTTTAAGCAATTACATTTTAAATTTATAAGTAAACAGTTGAAAATGTCACTTAATCTGAAATGAGAAAACATTCAGTCCATGATTGAAAAAAACATTCTCATAAATCCACGAAAATCAAACGAGATTACAAATCATCTTTCATAAAATTACGAAACAGTAAAAGTAACTGGGGTGAGGAAGAAACTCAGTTGCACAGAAACTGTTCGTGTTGACCAAAACTGAGCTTAGATTACAATTCAGCGACCCAAAATTCATTAAAAAAAAAAAACACTTTTCAGCCTTAACCGAAACATTTGTTGTCCTGTGTAATAGTTTTGTTACCTCTCTGCGGAACAGTGGTGAAAAAAGGTTACTATTATTTTCTTGCATTTTAAATCCATCCTGAATATTTCACGATTTTATTCAAAAGAATAAAATCGTGGAATAATCAGAATAACAACTGCAGATATGGAAAGCTCTTGTGCTATTTCAGGGCGCTTTAACTTTTTAAAATAAATGTTTACATTACAAAAAAAAATGTGATACATTTTGTGAATAGTGAGAACAACTGAAAAAATACAGTTAAATTAGAATAAGTTCAAAGATATGTGAATTTTTTTTTATTCCAAGAAAGATACAGTACTTGAAGAGGGACAACAGGTGTAAGGAAACATGCCCAACGTTTCTACCCGTATCGGGGATTGAACCTCAGACAGAGTGTATGAGGAGAGTGCGTTACCAACTGAAACTCGATCTTGAGCATTTATTTCTCTGAGTGTTTATTGTGTTTGTGAAGTGGAAAGAGAGTTAAAGAGGATGTCTTAGTGTCAGTGATGAAGAGGAAATAACGGTAAATTAAAAAGCAGTACAGAAGTCTTAATGAGAAATATTTCTTCACAAATTAACCATTGACTCTTACTGATGAGAAATTGCTCTCACACACAACCACAATTAGGTGAATACACACACACACACACACACACACCACACACACACACACACACACACACACACACACACACTCACCGTAGACTCTGATGGCTCCGTCAGTCTCCCCTAGTGAGTTCTTAGCGATGCAGCGGAAAGTGCCGATATCCTGAGGCTCGACCCGGCGGATCCTAAGCTTCATGTACACCTTGTAGGAACTTTCTGCCACGATAGGTTCATAGCGATCGTCTGTCAGGGAGGCAATAAACCCTATCACTCTGCAGCCTATTGTCTTATATGTAGTTATATTATTAAGGAAGAACTAAACTAAGCCAGTTGTTAATACAGCAACCAGCAACAGTGCTATGTTAGGGTTGTATCACAACTACAGTGCTATGTTAGGTTGTATCACAACTACAGTGCCATGTATTGCTGTATCACAACTACAGTGCCATGTATGGTTGTATCACAACTACAGCGCCACGTATGGTTGTATCACAACTACAGTGCCATGTATGGTTGTATCACAACTACAGTGCCATGTATGGTTGTATCACAACTACAGTGCTATGTTAGGTTGTATCACAACTACAGTGCCATGTATGGCTGTATTACAACTACAGTGCCATGTATGGCTGTATCACAACTACAGTGCCATGTATGGTTGTATCACAACTACAGTGCCATGTATGGTTGTATCACAACTACAGTGCTATGTTAGGTTTTTATCACAACTACAGTGCCATGTATGGCTGTATTACAACTACAGTGCCATGTATGGCTGTATCACAACTACAGTGCCATGTATGGTTGTATCACAACTACAGTGCCATGTATGGTTGTATCACAACTACAGTGCTATGTTAAGTTGTATCACAACTACAGTGCCATGTATGGCTGTATTACAACTACAGTGCCATGTATGGTTGTATCACAACTACAGTGCCATGTATGGCTGTATCACAACTACAGTGCCATGTATGGTTGTATCACAACTACAGTGCCATGTTAGGTTGTATCACAACTACAGTGCCATGTATGGTTTTATCACAACTACAGTGCCATGTATGGCTGTATCACAACTACAGTGCCATGTATGGTTGTATCACAACTACAGTGCCATGTATGGTTGTATCACAACTACAGTGCCATGTATGGTTGTATCACAACTACAGTGCCATGTATGGTTGTATCACAACTACAGTGCTATGTAGGTTGTATCACAACTACAGTGCCATGTATGGCTGTATTACAACTACAGTGCCATGTATGGCTGTATCACAACTACAGTGCCATGTTAGGTTGTATCACAACTACAGTGCCATGTATGGTTGTATCACAACTACAGTGCCATGTATGGTTGTATCACAACTACAGTGCCATGTATGACTGTATCACAACTACAGTGCCATGTATGGTTGTATCACAACTACAGTGCCATGTATGGTTGTATCACAACTACAGTGCCATGTATGGTTGTATCACAACTACAGTGCCATGTATGGTTGTATCACAACTACAGTGCCATGTATGGCTGTTAATTCACAACTGAAGTCCATTATAGGATTGTATGAAACTCTGCCCATGTATGGTTGTATCATAATTTAATACAAGAAGAACTAAGTCAAAAATCTTCACTTAGGAATCGCACATGTTATCTCCAATTCACCCCTTGACTTGGTTATACGGCCCCATACAGTTAGTGCTGCCCCCTGAATATACATGAAGCAACTAAGATGCCACGCTAATTTTAAGTTTTTATAGCACAAGTTTGATCCGAGGAATTGAGCGGTAACCTCACTTCCGCGATACGGCCTTAACGGTTCAGATCGACTCCCTCACTAACAAATCGCTGTTTCCTTCACGGGCTGGATCATGAGCCCCCTTACTTGCTATCCTAAGGCCTGTCCAGGAATGCACCTTCCCTCCTTCCTTAGAAGATTGGGTTAGTTATTCTCAGGAAACAGGAACAATGTTTCCTGACGCAGGTCTGAGTCAATGATGACCCGCCATTGCGCTTTTTTCATCTGATCGAGCCCTTCTTTGACTACCGGTCCACATTAAAAAATATACGGCAAGCTTACTCGGATAAACTTTATTTTCACTCAAAGATCTGTGAGCCTTGGTGAAACTTAGCGCTTTTCTACATTTATTACAGATTTTATGACACAACTATATTGAATTCCCAAATACATAAACCAAATAAAACGGGAAGCCGGGATATATTTATATTTTATGAAAAAATATTAGGTTATATGGTAAAAAAAAGTTTACATATATGACAGACATACACACATACACCTATCAGTGTATATTCACGGGGTATATACAATGAAACGTCTGAGGGTATATACAATGAAACGTCTGAGGGTATATACAATGAAACGTCTGAGGGTATATACAATGAAACGTCTGAGGGTATATACAATGAAACGTCTGAGGGTACCTACAATGAAACGTCTGAGGGTATATACAATGAAACGTCTGAGGGTACATACAATGAAACGTCTGAGGGTATATACAATAAAACGTCTGAGGGTATATACAATGAAAAGTCTGAGGGTATATACAATGAAACGTCTGAGGGTATATACAATGAAACGTCTGAGGGATTATACAATAAAACGTCTGAGGGTATATACAATGAAAAGTCTGAGGGTATATACAATGAAACGTCTGAGGGTATATACAATGAAACGTCTGAGGGTATATACAATGAAACGTCTGAGGGTACATACAATGAAACGTCTGAGGGTATATACAATGAAACGTCTGAGGGTATATACAATAAAACGTCTGAGGGTATATACAATGAAACGTCTGAGGGTATATACAATGAAACGTCTGAGGGTATATACAATGAACGTCTGAGGGTATATACAATGAAACGTCTGAGGGTATATACAATGAAACGTCTGAGGGTATATACAATGAAACGTCTGAGGGTATATACAATGAAACGTCTGAGGGTATATACAATGAAACGTCTGAGAGTATATACAATAAAACGTCTGAGAGTATATACAATAAAACGTCTGAGAGTATATACAATAAAACGTCTGAGAGTATATACAATAAAACGTCTGAGAGTATATACAATAAAACGTCTGAGAGTATATACAATAAAACGTCTGAGGGTATATACAATAAAACGTCTGAGGGTATATACAATAAAACGTCTGAGGGTATATACAGAGAAATACGTCTATTGCTGGATCTACCCTGTGAGGTATTGATGAAATTCTTATTTTTATTCCTCTTGTTCACATTATTATTATTATTATTATTATTATTATTATTATTATTATTATTATTATTATTAGTAGTAGTAGTAGTAGTAGTAGTAGTAGTAGTATTTTTTATTATTGCATAAAAAAAATTTCGAAACCCACATGAATGATGAAACACTTGAGCATTAGTGCAAATACAATACTGACAAACTGATGAGTTAGACACATGTGCAACACTTAGGTATCTTTTTGAAGATGCATTAAATATACTTAAGTGCTGCACACGTATCTTACTAAAGTACATGTCTTACTAACGTACTTGTCTTACTAACGTACATGTCTTACTAACGTACTTGTCTTACTAACGTACTTGTCTTACTAACGTACTTGTCTTACTAACGTACTTGTCTTACTAACGTACTTGTCTTACTAACGTACTTGTCTTACTAACGTACTTGTCTTACTAATGTACATATCTTACTAACGTACTTGTCTTACTAACATACTTGTCTTACTAACGTACTTGTCTTACTAACGTACATATCTTACTAACGTACTTATCTTACTAACGTACTTGTCTTACTAACGTACATGTCTTACTAACGTACTTGTCTTACTAACGTACTTGTCTTACTAACGTACTTGTCTTACTAACGTACTTGTCTTACTAACGTACTTGTCTTACTAACGTACTTGTCTTACTAACGTACTTGTCTTACTAACGTACTTGTCTTACTAACGTACTTGTCTTACTAACGTACTTGTCTTTCTAACGTACTTGTCTTACTAACGTACATATCTTACTAACGTACTTGCCTTACTAACGTACTTGTCTTACTAACGTACTTGTCTTACTAACGTACTTGTCTTACTAACGTACTTGTCTTACTAACGTACTTGTCTTACTAACGTACATATCTTACTAACGTACTTGTCTTACTAACGTACTTGTCTTACTAACGTACTTGTCTTACTAACGTACTTGTCTTACTAACGTACATATCTTACTAACGTACTTGTCTTACTAACGTACTTGTCTTACTAACGTACATATCTTACTAACGTACTTGTCTTACTAACGTACTTGTCTTACTAACGTACATATCTTACTAACGTACTTATCATACTAACGTACTTGTCTTACTAACGTACATGTCTTACTAACGTATTTGTCTTACTAACGTACTTGTCTTACTAACGTACTTGTCTTACTAACGTACTTGTCTTACTAACGTACTTGTCTTACTAACGTACTTGTCTTACTAACGTACTTGTCTTACTAACGTACATATCTTACCAACGTACTTGCCTTACTAACGTACTTGTCTTACTAACGTACTTGTCTTACTAACGTACTTGTCTTACTAACGTACTTGTCTTACTAACGTACTTGTCTTACTAACGTACATATCTTTCTAACGTACTTGTCTTACTAACGTACTTGTCTTACTAACGTACATATCTTACTAACGTACTTGTCTTACTAACGTACTTGTCTTACTAACGTACATGTCTTACTAACGTATTTATCTTACTAACGTACTTGTCTTACTAACGTATTTATCTTACTAACGTACTTGTCTTACTAACGTACTTGTCTTACTAACGTACTTGTCTTACTAACGTACTTGTCTTACTAACGTACTTGTCTTACTAACGTACTTGTATTACTAACGTACTTGTCTTACTAACGTACTTGTCTTACTAACGTACTTGTCTTACTAACGTACATATCTTACTAACGTACTTGTCTTACTAACGTACTTGTCTTACCAACGTATTTATCTTACTAACGTATTTATTTTACTGATACTTGTGTTACTGTTATATTTGAGTAGTACACTGAGGATATTGCTCACCTGAGACGAT